AAGCGGCAAGCGTCGTGCATGCAACACTTACAGCAACAAAATTAAACGCAAATCGCAACCAATCACAAAGATTACCCCCACACACACATACACACACAACACACACACACAAGTCAAAGGAGGCAGCGCCCCCGCTGAAAACTTGTAAATTTACCTTAGGGAGCTGTGTGTATGTGTGTGTGGGGGGATGTGGGGTGGGGGCGTCCCAAAGGCGCTTGCATTGGTATTTTAAACACTGGCAAGCGCATAATCAAAACGCTTAAATTATAATAACTTTATTAAGTCTCGACTCTCGGCGAGTGGGCAAAAGTGAATTCGGTGGGAGCAGAGTCAAACACACACACACATGCACACACACAAGCAAACACACCCCTCTCGCCTAGGCTAGCTAAACAGGTGTAGTGTAAAGAAAGCAACAACAGCAACAACAATTGGCAAGAGCTGGTAACAACTGAAAAGCCCCAAACATAAAGGCACAAGGCACAAGCGTTTTGTCTGTTGCCCATTTTTTCGAGTGGTTTTTACTTGGTATACACTACAGCATTGTAGTTGCTCTTGTTGTTGTTGTTGTTGTTACCTGCTGCCTGCTGTTTATGATTGTTTTTTCATTTTCTCAAGTGATGAGTAGGATATCTGTCTGTTCGTACAGCTATGGCAACAACTACCACAACAACAATAACAGCAACAAGCTATTTGCGACTCACGACTTTTCATGCAATTTTGAATTTAAAATTCTTCACACACTCTTTTCATTATGTGGCTTCATTCCTGACTTCTCTGTGAGCCCCCTCCCCCATCCCTTGCCATGCCACTCGCCCAATGCCTGTAAAAATGGCCCGCCATCGAAGCCAAGAGGCAGCAAAATAAGATGCTACTCTTGTGGCCATCTTGAAGTGGTTGTTGTAATGGGCGAGCGTATGCTTATGTGTGTGCGAGTGTGTGCTAGTTTGTGTGTGTGAGTCGGTGAACATGTGTGTGTGTGGAGGCCACTATAGTGGAAGACGCCTCACAATCACGCGCCGTTTACTTTTTTATTGGCGCTGGCGCTGTTAGCAGATCACAGTGGTTAACTGATAAGTTTAGATGGGCTTAAAATCTGGTTAAAACAGTTAAAAATATAACTAGTTTGATCAAATGATATGTGAGCAGATCACAGTGGTCAGGAATTTGAATAATAACTATAACTAAATAATATGTCATTTTGACTAATTACATAATAAAAACGTTGAATATATAAATTAATATATATTAATATATGAAAATGTCAATATTCTAACTTTTTTGTTTATTGCAATGAAGTACATAAATGTTGCTTTAACAATTATGTTCACTTGCAGATTTGAAAAAAAGTATGTAGTCCTTTGATACTCAAAAAGTGCATGGACAAGCTTTCGAATATTTCCAAGTGTTTAAATTGGACTTAAGAAACAAATAATATACAAAAAATAAAAATTTTGTAATTATCTATTTATTATTATATTTACATAGTGGCATAAGCTCACTTTACAACACTTTATCCCACTGTCACACACAAATCCATCATTTTATGCCACTGTGCAACAGCGCGCGTGGATTTTGTGTTGGTGTCGTTGGCAATGATGACGATGACGTTGACGATGACTGGGCTGCTTGCCCTGCTCAGTGGCTTAGCCAGCTTGGTACGGATGTGTCTATCTTGGACTGCGATTGCTGCTGCCGCTGCTGCTGCTGATGTTGCTGCCACTACCACTTGGTGGTCCAATTCAACGAATTGACTATAATCAGTCTAGTGGCAAGTACTTTTCGAGTGCCCACTCATGCACTTCTGTGTAGCGTGGCGAGTGCGGAGTAGGTGCAACTGCCGGTGCGACGTCCAGCTCGGACGGTCGGCAAGTTGCAAGTGGTTTGCTTGCCAGCACCGCTCTCATATGCAAATGTACCTTGCGCCACTCGGTCTAGAAACGTCAGGTATACTTGAAGCGGCTCTCACGAGTGCCGCGACGCACACAAAATTAATTTATTACATACAATGCAACAAATTACACCACTCATTAATATTTAAGCCAAGTTTTGCGTAGCTGGCCCTGTGCGCTGTGGCATGTGGAAAGGAGTCTGCTGCCAGCATTCCGCTTGTCCAGGGGCGGTACATGCCCAACGACGTCTCGACTGAGCCACTGCGCTCATACCTAATAAATCTGTAATTTGTAATTAATGTGAAAAATTGCCGCCCGAGACGCCAAACAAGCCTAAATTGTTATTACGGCCACAGTGCAGGTTCAGAGCCCAGTTGGACTCGAGTCCAGTTCCAGTTCCAGTTCATAAAAACCGCACACAACATGTACGCGTGTGTGGTGTGTGTGAGTGTGTGTGTTTGGTGTGTGTCGCCCTGCCTGTCTGTACGTCGTTTGGTTTGTTGTGGGTCAAAGCCATAACTCTTCGACAAGTTCGGCAGTTCGACAAACACACTGTTGCCTGTGGCCCAAGTCTGGCTTGGCCTGGTCAGCAACTCTTGTTGGCCTACAGGCGGCTCAGATAATGTTCGTGCTGTGTTTCATAAATATAAATTAAGCCACTTGACTAACGCACAGAGCCAACGTATTTAAGACTTGGAAATGTGAAAACTTGGTCAACAGATTTGCCGTATCTCATGTTGCCAAAATATCATTGCGTTAACTATGGCCAACAAAAAAAAAAGCCAACAGGGGCAACCGCTTGGTCGCCTGGCGATGGCATATCGCGCCATTGTCTGCTGAAAGCAACTCATGCGGCGTGATTAATATGGAAGACGGCCAAAACCGATCCATAGCCAACAATTTATGATATATGTGGAGGGTTGTGAGCATGTGAAAGAGCAGCGAGAAAACTGTGTGACAACTTAATCAAGAAAACAGCTTTAGAAAAGCTGCTTGTAATTTAGTACACAATTATTTATTTGCCAATCTTAGCTGATCTATTAGACATTTGGTTAATAATGCACACATATGGTAATAATTCACATTAATTGCCTAAAGAGAAACGCTTGACCTGAATTTTGAACTTGGCTGCTTGTTGTTAACTTGTCCTAATGATTCGGTCATTTGGTCCACTTCCTTGCATGCTTATAAATATAGCTTATGACAAACTTTTGACCGTATCGAATTCATACAGAAACTGTATTATTCAAATTAATTGTTTTCAGTTTTTCTCCAAGTTTTCATATTTTTATTTTACTTTAACACAATTAACCCATTAAAAACACTTGAAAACGAGCACAAAATGTCTGCATGCATGATTGATAATATTCGAAAGTTAAAAAAAAAAACACACACACAAGGTATATATTGCTCTATGGATATTTTGAACAATTGACCGCATTATAGCCACAAAAAAAATTCGCACTATTGCCCTTTACCCCACCCACCGCTACGATTCGAGGCGGTCAAATTGCTAACCGGTCAGTCACCGAATCAAAACAATTTTTATTTTTTTTTTGATCATGCTGGCCAAGAGGTAACACAGTTGAGTGAGTGATTCAATGGAGCAAAACGTGAGCCAAAGACGTGAGACAACAACAACAATAAGCACCGTTTATATGCCTGATGAGCGGGCGCCTTTGAATACGACCCCAAGATATAACATATTTTTTTGTTCACTTGTGATATTTATTTTTTTCTCAACGAATCAATCACAATGATTATGATAAATGATTTCGGTTTTTCACTATTTTTCGGCCTGCCATTGTTTGGTAATTTTTTTTGCTTTTTTTTTCTTTTCTTTGATTTTTTGGTATTTTCGCATTATTACGCCGCGTAATGGCCGATCAGCGAGTCGGGTTGTAATTGCCGGCCTATAAATCACAGTGAAAAGATATAATTTCTGTTAGATGATCTCTTCGTCTGACCGTGGTTGATTAGCACATTTGTCCGACTTTCAATGGAAGTTTCACTTTTTTTCTATTTACAAGACGAACAAGCGCAAACGAAACGAAAAGCCTCCACGTAATGCTGACCCAATGAACTTTTTAACAGTACTCGCAATTTTTTTCAAGCTATTTGCTTAACGGTTTCGATTGTGTACTTTTTATAATACATTGCTTATTTAGTGGGTCTTTGGAGTTTATCGCATTTTTCTAATCTTGTTAAGAAACTTCATTAGTGTCACAAACGGACGCCTTACTTGCATTGATTAATGTGTGTCAGGCGGAAACTTTGGAGCACCAAAACGTGTAACAAGGCGGCAACGGACCACCAGCTCGGCCCCAGCCCCAGTCCCAACCGCAGCCCCAGCCTCAGCCTCTGCTCCAGCAAAGCCGGTAGCTTTGGCAGCTGTAGTAGCTGGAAACCTGAACCTGACTCACAAATGCGGCGCTGTTTGCATAGACCACGCCCCTTCCATGTTGGTCGCCTGCAATTTGAGGTCTTTATTGTGCACTTTATTTATAAAGGTGGAAACTGCATCATTAGTTTGCGCTTGGAGCTTAGCATGTGGCTGGGACATGATAACTAAAGATAGATATATAAGTTTAATTTGTGAGATAAACTTTAAGAAACGAGAAGAAGCGATTGAATTAATACAAAACTTAAGATGAAACTGCAAAAATATACGATCTATCACGATGTACTCGAATACATATTTTATATTCCGATTTGAGATTTAAAATTCTTAAGATTTAACTGAATCACAAATTATCCACATATTTTTACACAACATTATAAAATATTTACCAAATTAATGGCTCAGCAAAACCTGCTATACAATCATTTAAAGTCTTCTACAGCCTGAACAATGTCTTTAATGCAACACAAGCCCCTCCATGCCATATTCATATTTTATGAACTAAACTGCAACTTTTTGGGGAACAACTTTCAAAAAAGTGCTAACAAGCTGCCGGAGTTGGAGTTAAAGTTGTTACTGCTTTAAATTTGACGATATTTGGCAATATTTTAGCTGGTTTTAATAATTTGTGACAAGTTTTTTAATAAATGTGTTCAACTTTATTTATTTATTTTGTTATTTTCATTTATTTTATTTTTTTTTTGCAGTCTCGATTGCCGGAACACCCAGCACGCAATCCATGTGGCTGATGCATTGACACAACGACGCAGAGACACTTGTCGCCTAGCTGAGTAGCCGCTCGGTGGAGCTGTGAGGAAAATGTTTCCACGGCAGCCGGCTGCAGCCAGCGCGGATATTTATCAGGATGCAACAACAACGCTGCGCTCAGCGTTTCCCAACTCTCGACTGGATTCGCTGGCGGCACATCCAACGCCCGCGAATGAGCCTGATCCCAACATGGACAGTCAGCTGGCAGCGCCAGATCCAACTGAATTGGGCGGCGCCAGTGCCGGCTATAATCCGCTGGACGATGACTGGTGGTCCAATGCCATTGAGGTGGACACGTTCGATTCGCCGCTGGCCTTCGATGCCAGCGAGAATGGTCTGTGGAACGGACATTTTGTGCCACCGCCGCCACGTCCACCCTTTCTGGATGAAAGCGTCGCCGCTGACGGCCTGACCACCTGTGATCTATGCACGTGGGCCTGGCAGCGTAATGCCTACTCCCTAGACGGTTCGATAGGTAAGTGCCGATATACCGATATCTTACGCTCTCGAGAGTCTCTCTCTCTCTTTAAGCCCCCCATGAATAATGGGCCCTTTAGCCCCGCATTGTAGTCGCGTTTTTCAATTAAAAACTCAGCCCATCCCCAACTCCTGCAGCAACTCCTCGACAAGACAATACTCGGTATCTGTGCAACGCTAGCCGCGCATCGCCGCACATCGATCGCTGATATCAATTTATCAAACTGATGTTGGGCGTGCGTGGCGCGATTGCTTTTCGGCGCTGTATTTTTCAAGAGCCAAGTCTTTCCGGATCTTGGCCAGGTCTGTGCTGCCTCCTTCTGCTTCACTTGCGTTTGCAAATTTAATTTTGCACATAACTCTTGGTGGCACAGCCTTTGGCTTAGGCGTTTCAAGCCACGATCCCTGTTGGATTCGCTGCTCTTACCGCGGCCTATCGCGACCATCGCCAGCTCGAGTCATTTGTCTCTGCGCTTGTAAAATCGCGCAAAAAAAAGTGGGGGGCGAGAAACCTCATTGTAACCTGGCTTAGACGAAACATCATGAAAATATATAAAGCAGTGGGCGTGTGCAGGAGCAGAACCCGCTGCTGATGATGCAGCTGATGCCGATGATTATGACTCTGCCTAGACTGGGTTCCATTCGGATGCTTTTAAAGAATTTTCTTTAATTTATTTGAGCAAAAATAAAGTAATAAGCACTGCTCGACTATTTGCAAGGGGTATTGAATTAAAGTTGAAATAGATCTTGTCACATCTAGATAAGTGTAGTGATTTTTATAGGAACGGAAATGTATTTATGAAAGAACATAATATTTGTCTCTAAAAGAACATAGACTGAAAGCTGCGGCTCTTTAGTTAGGAACTTAGAACATATTTGAAAATATTCAAACAGTTTAGTTCTAACTAACAAATGTACACATAATTAACATCAGTCACTTTATTTGCCGAATGAATTCATCTGCATAATAATTACACAAAGCACAATCAAAAGTCAACCGTTGAAAACTAGTTAGAATTAACCCGCACATAACCCAAATACCAAATGCACAAAGCGAATACCAAATGACCGTTGGCCACAGCCACATATGAGAGCATAAGTGGAGTCGAGTTAGGGTTATGGTTGGGAATATGGCATGGCATTTAGCCGTTTGGCGTATTTGATTTCCAGGAATCGCTTTCAGCGCAAATTGAAGTCATTATACAGGAAGGGCCGGGGCTCGAGCCCGACGCAGGAGTAGGAGTAGAAGCCGCTGCAGCTGGCGGCAGAGCCCATTGCCCATTACTCGTGCCCGTTGCCCGGGTTATTAGGCTAATTATAGACTGGGGCAAACATTTCAGTATTTCTCATCATGCGCTCATATGGAACTATATATATATATTTTTTTTTGTGTGAATATGTATAAATGACTTTATTCATGCCGACTGCGACTGTTTGTCGCGCCGTCGCGTCGTCTGCTGCCGGCGTTTGCCCCAGCCGCAGCCAACGTGTCAACTAATTTGCAACACTCGCCTGGACTGGAGGGGGCAAAACTGGTCAGTTCCCTGGAAATACCTGCGGCGGCGGCTGCTGCTGCTGCCTTTGCCTGTGCCATTCGAAGGGATTAAGCGGCAACAGCTCCTCCATACGGCAACAGGCAATAATAACAGCAAAAAAAATTTGACTAATGTCTTAATTTTGTGCCTAGGTGTTTTTGGTAGTTTCGGCCAGAGCAGTCGCTATGCTCCGCTACTCCAAGCCCAGGCCCCAGCCCGAGTCGTGCCTCGGCTGCAGCGAATGCCATTCACTTCGCTTCATCCGTTGGAGCCCTGGCAAATTGAGTTTTTGCATGTCGTGGCCCATGTCTAGATTTCTGTTTCGTTTTGTTTGCCGCTCAAATTGACAGCTGAATAAAATGTTATTATATTTACACCATAATTTGCATGGCAATTAATCAAATGGCATGCAAAATTCTGTCGCTTCGACGGCAACAGCAACGACACCAACAACAACAACAACAACAGTGTCAAAATGTTTCCCAACAAAATGCTCTTTTTGTTTGCGACACATTTTGGGCGCCCAGGCAATTCTCAGAATTTTTCACAATTCTAACAAAATATCAAAAGGTCGAAACCGCCCGACAATGTCTAAATTATGAGCGCACAGTTTGGAGCCGTAACGAAATTTGCACGGTGCTCGTTAAGCAGTTGGGAACTGGGTTCCATTAGAGATGGGCAAAAAATAAATGGCCAAATAAAAACTTGATTTAAAAGTATCCTAACTTGTGCATAGCGTGTAGTATGAAGTATCATAAGATTATAACTTATGTAAGGCATCATTTGCAGAATTGAGTGAATCTCAAATGTGAACATTTAAATATATTTTCAACAATCTATTACAATTTTGTAAGGCTTAGCTTTTCTCTGAGCACTCGATACTAATCGGTTAACATGCTCATCTCGAAATTCACCTTCACAGCTCACACCTTCAGCGTTATTTTTATGGCATATTAAGTTCGCCGCTTGATTATTTGAACGGCATATTTTTGTGTAATTTATGCACCGTCTTGGCTCCTTTTACACCAACCTCTATTAGAATAGGGACTGGGCCTAACAACAGCTTTATATAAAAAAGGGTTAACAATTCGACATTCTGCAAATATTTACAGCAATTTGTAGCACAATAAAAATGTTACAACTTGCCAAAGGAACCCACAGAAGAGGACTCATTTCGGACAACAAATGTTTTACAAAAATAGCAACAAACAATGACAAAGGCAAAAGTCCCGACAGCCGAGCAGCTGTTAAAGGCAGCTTCGCAGCGCCTTTGGCACTTTTGATATTTTTATTGTTGTGGCGAAATACACATAAAATCATATAAATACATTTAAGTTGCTTATAAAGCGCCCACATTTGGGACCAAACTTTGGCTCTGAGCATTGGGGCGTGTGTGGCAAAGACTTAAACAGTTCGTATTTTGTCGACCACCCCCTGGGGTAATAATATCATAAATGGCATAATGCCATTGTGCCACAAACACCATAAATATTGTAAAGCTATAGACGTAACAATTATTGACAGATTTATGCACACCAAAAGCTATTCAAAGTGCCACTGAATAGCGTTTCGGCCAGATTACCAGTTACAATACTTATGAAAATGGCTAAGCAATTTGGAGAACAGCAGCTGGTGCTCTATTGTATTGGTCGCATGGTTGGGGTAGTTGCAATGCGAGACTCTAAGGCAACAATAATAAACGATATTTAAGCATTTCCATTATCAGTTTATAGCATACTTTTGAGCTTATCTGCAACGAGCTAAACTTTAAAGCTTTAAAATACTTTCAATAAAAGATTCACCATTAAAACGAAGAATGGAATTTATTCCTTTTGATTTTTCACTTTGAACCTAACCTTAAACCAATCCAAGACACACCATAACCAAACCTCAAAGCAAACCAGAATTTGGTCAAAATTCAGGTAAAAATGGTACCCTCAACTATCCTATATAGACATAGGTCAAAATTTCCCACCCCCATAACTCGGTCAAATCTCATCAGATTTTCAAGAGGTTTGGTTTTTTCTTAATGGTTTGGCCTCTAGATCAATTTGGCATCTAAATCTGGCAACATAATTTTTGGTCCAAATTCATGTCAAAATGGAACCCTAAAATATCTTATACAGACATAGGTCAAAATTTCCCACCCCCATAACTCGGTCAAATCTCATCAGATTTTCAAGAGGTTTGGCTTTTTCTCCATGGTTTGGCCTCTAGATCAATTGGGCATTTAAATCTGGCAACATCATTTTCGGTCCAAATTCATGTCAAAATGGAACCCTCAAATATCTTATATAGACATAGGTCAAAATTTCCCACCCCCATAACTCGGTCAAATCTCATCAGATTTTCAAGAGGTTTGGCTTTCTCTCCATGGTTTGGCCTCTAGATCAATTGGGCATTTAAATCTGGCAACATCATTTTTGGTCCAAATTCATGTCAAAATGGAACCCTCAAATATCTTATACAGACATAGGTCAAAATTTCCCACCCCCATAACTCGGTCAAATCTCATCAGATTTTCAAGAGGTTTGGTTTTTTCTTCATGGTTTGGTCCCTAGATCAATTGGGCATTTAAATCTGGCAACATCATTTTTGGTCCAAATTCATGTCAAAATGGAACCCTCAAATATCTTATACAGACATAGGTCAAAATTTCCCACCCCCATAACTCGGTCAAATCTCATCAAATTTTCAAGAGGTTTGGCTTTTTCTCCATGGTTTGGCATCTAGATCAATTGGGCATTTAAGTCTGGCAACATCATTTTTGGTCCAAATTCATGTCAAAATGGAACCCTCAAATGTCTTATATAGACATAGGTCAAAATTTCCCACCCCCATAACTCGGTCAAATCTCATCAGATTTTCAAGAGGTTTGGCTTTTTCTTCATGGTTTGGCCTCTATATCAATTTGGCATTTAAATCTGGCAACATCATTTTTGGTCCAAATTCATGTCAAAATGGAACCCTCAAATATCTTATATAGACATAGGTCAAAATTTCCCACCCCAATAACTCGGTCAAATCTCATCAGATTTTCAAGAGGTTTGGCTTTTTCTCCATGGTTTGGCCTCTAGATCAATTGGGCATTTAAATCTGGCAACATAATTTTTGGTCCAAATTCATGTCAAAATGGAACCCTCAAATATCTTATACAGACATAGGTCAAAATTTCCCACCCCCATAACTCGGTCAAATCTCATCAGATTTTCAAGAGGTTTGGTTTTTTCTTCATGGTTTGGTCCCTAGATCAATTGGGCATTTAAATCTGGCAACATCATTTTTGGTCCAAATTCATGTCAAAATGGAACACTCAAATATCTTATACAGACATAGGTCAAAATTTCCCACCCCCATAACTCGGTCAAATCTCATCAGATTTTCAAGAGGTTTGGTTTTTTCTTCATGGTTTGGCCTCTAGATCAATTTGGCATCTAAATCTGGCAACATAAGTTTTGGTCCA